TTGGGAGAGGAGGGCCAGGCACCAGCATCAGCGGGACTCGGGAACGACCTTCCGGAGCAAAGGGCGAACTCCCCTTCCTCCTACCGCTTTTCCTCGTCCCCCTCGCTCCTCGGAGAGCAGCACGAGTGGGAGTGGCAACGCAAGGTCCCCCAACGAGACTGGAACTAGCAGTAGGCCGGTGCGCACGAGTGTGCTCAGCACGACTTGGACTATCAATACGTCGATAACCAATCCCAGCGCGAACAAAATAGCGAACCGTGAGCAGTCGGAGTGCTATTGGCACCACGAATCCTACAAACACGGCTGGGACTAGTAGTACGCTCGTGTGCAGTACGAGCGAGAGCGGTACCCCGAAACCTACGAGAGGGCGCGTTTCACGGACACTTGCCTTGGGAACATTCGGCGGCGCGTTTCGAACCGGGGAGTGGGCCCCCCCCAACACTCGGCGCCGTCGATCAGGCCAGGGGGGACTCCTCCCCCCCCCCTAATCCCCTCCCCTCCCAACCCCTCCCCCTACCCCTCGGCGCCGGCGCCGCCGGCGCCCGCGCTGGCGGCCGCCAGCAGCGCCGACGGCGGGGACGCAGCGACGATGGCCAGAGAGGGCCCAAGGGAGGGCGGGGGGGTCCAAACCGCCCCCCCCCCCGCGCCGGCGCCGGCGCGGGCGCTGGCGGCAGCCAGCAGCGCCGACGGCCACCAACCCACCACACAACCACCACCACCACGGCCACCACCACCACCACAACTCACCACCACCACTACAAAAACCCACCACCAATACCACCACCACCACAATTTACCACAAAACCACCACCACCGAAACAACCACCACCACCACTACCAGCAGCACAACCTACCACCACCACCACCACAAACCACCACACCACCACCACCACCACCGCCACCACCGCCACCACCAGCACCACCTCCACAATCCACAGCCACCACCACAACCCACCACCAGCACCACTACAAACCACCACCACACCACCACCACCACAACCCACCTCTACCACAAACCACCACCACACCGCCGCCAAACCACCACCACCACCACCACCCACCACCATCGCCACCACCACCATCACCACAACAAACCACCACACGACCACCACAACCACCACCACCGCCACCACCGCCATCACAGCCCACCACCACAACAAACCACAACCACCACCACCACAAACCGCCACACCACCACCACCACCAACCACCACCATCACCACCACTACAACAAACCACCACCACCACCACCACAACGCCCACCACCGCCACCACCACCACAACCACAACAACCCACCACCACCACCACCACAACCACCACCACAACCACGGCCACCACCACGGCCACCACCACCACCACCACGAGAAACCACCGCACCACCACCACCACCGCCACCACCACCACCACAAATTGCCACCACAACCACCACAAGAACCACCACCACTACCAACAACCACACCACCACCACCACCACCACCACCACCACCACCGCCACAACCACCACCACCACCATCGCCACAGCCCACCACCACCACCACCACCACCACCTCTGAAAGGCCCCAAGAGACGCCCAAGAGGCGCCCAAGAGGCTGCACAAATGCCGTTCAGAGGCTCCCGAAAGCCCTCCGACGAGACCCCAAGAGGCATCAATTAGGACTCTGACCCAAAACCAAGGCACGGTGGCGGAGCGTCGTCGTCGTCGTCATCGTCGTCGCCGTCGTCCTCGTCGACGCTCCCCGCCGCCGCCGTCGCTCGCCGCTGCAGGCGCTGGCGCCGGCCCAGAAAAGAAAGTCGTGGTTCCCGCCGCCGCCGCCAGCCGACGCCGACGCAGGCGCCGGCCCGAGGAGAGGGAGAGGAGAGAAGTAGGGGAGGAGGGGGAGGGGAGGGGGGGGTTGAACCCCCCTCCCCCCTCCGTCACGGGAAGGGGGGGAGGTTCGAACCCCCCACCCCCCCTCCATCCAGGGGGGGGAGGGTCCGGTTCCAAACCCACCCCCCCTTCAAGCGACCTCAGAACGCGCTCTTTCAAACCCTTTAGCACGACAATAACTAACGACACCTCGGGCACCGAATGTGTCAAACAACGGTTGGAAGTGTCAGTACGTTACTGGACAATACGAGTGCGATCAACAACACGATTGCTACCAACACGATTGGGGCTGAAAAAACGTCGGCTTGGGTCAGCATCGCGTCGGCAACCAGTATGAGCGCAATCATTAACACGAGTGTTACAAGCGCGACTGAGACTCGCAAGTCGTCGAGCAGTACGGTTGCGAGCAGAAGCGCGAAGGTCACCAGCACGACTGGTTCTAGCAGCACTTCGGTGAGCAGTACGAATGCGAGCGGCAACGCGATGTCTCCCAACAACATCGGGACTAGCAGTGCATCGGTGAGCAAGAGTGCTACCAACCCGACGTGGACTGAAAATGCGTCGGTCCCCAGTACGCCTGCCAGACATATACTGTACCGCAACCGCGTACGATGCAGATGACAAAGATCCACCACAAGTGGCTTCTGTAGCGGCCGTTCGTAACGCTGCGACTCGCTGGAGACTGCCCCAGGAATCGCGACCCAGCACTGTCCAACTAGCGCGGGCCATCGTATGCACTGTTACAGAGTACCCACTGGTTGCGCGACACCAGTAGTCAAGGATACAGTGAACATCCCCATTCGATGAGCAAACATAGCGGCAAAGCAGCTCGGACGAGGTGGTCTGTTACCTACTCGGCATCCCTGCGTTCTCTTCTCCCTCGCTCGTGGCGTCAGGAGCGAGTGTGGCCGTGAAACCTGACAATGCGCAGCATGCTGCCGCGCCCCCTGCCCCTCTGGCTCGGGGCATCGGGAGTGAGTATGGCCGTGGAGCAAGACAAAGTACAGCACGCCGACGTGCCATCTGCCCCCTCGCTCTTGGCGCCAGGAGCGAGCGCGGCCGAGCGCGATGAGGACTGGCTGCAGCATGGCCAAAACGGCCGTCATGCGCCTCCGCCTCGCGAGCGCGGCCAATGCCTGTTACAACCTTGTGATGGCGGCTCGCACATGCGCTTCTTCAGCTGGCGGCCCCATCCCCAAGGACTGGAGATAGAACTCCTTGAGCTCCTGAAAGTTGTCTGTGTCCATGGGCACTCCGCACTCTTCCACCTGTTCCCGCTGCTGCGGTGATGACATCTGCGCTTGCGGAGCAGCCGGCCTAGGTGGAAGCTGGAGGGGGGCTGCGGCTGCACAACCTTCGCCTTGGCTTCTCGCAGCGCATCAGAGGATGTGATGGTAGTGCAGGCCAGCTTGCTGCTGGCCCCTGCTGACTGCAGGAGCTCGCCCAACTTGTCAACTTGGGAGCCAAGCGCGGACACCGGGGTCTCGAGGGAGGACCCCGACGACTCGCCAGGCTCTGGCCTTGGCGCCTGCGAGGCGACAGGCAGGCGCTGGGCCTCCAGCTCCTGGAGCTCCACCGCAGGTGTCGGCCTCCTCTTTCTCGGCCGCTCCAATCTGATCATCCAGCACCTTCTATTGCACGCGGAAGCCTGCCAGGATCCTGGCTTGCTGACGCTTCTGAGCCTGCAGCGTCTCGATGCGTGTGGTCCAGTGCGGCACCTGCGCGGCGTGGGGGCTCGTTGCTGACAGTCCCCTCCTTGAGCCCATCGAGCTCAGCGATGAGACGAGACTTGATTTCAAGCAGCTCCTTGTTGCCCGTCGGCGAATCCAGTTCGTGGAGAAATCTCGGCGAGGCGTTCGTGACTATGTTCAGCTCTGTCGCGTTCGCCATCACAATCCATGGATGGAATATGGCTCGTCTTGGCAGCAGCCTGGGCCGCCTTGAGTCTAGCAATCTCTTGGTCTTCTCGCGGATGAGATTGGCGTGCGAAGCAGCCTCGATGGCTGCAGCATGGGAGCACGAGCGCTGGACTCGCTCGGCGCCTTGAGACCGCCGAGACCGCTGAAAGAACGAAACGTACTTCCGGCTGCACTGCGTGCGCGCAAGCGGGTCGCCGCCATTCCACCACCTCTCCCCCGACCGAGGGTGGAAGCAAAAGTGGCAGTACCATGGACCTGCCCATGCTGCGCGGCGCGGTGAGCCACTCGCTGCTGCAGGAAGACAATGTGCCATCACACTCTGCATCACAATGTTCGGAAAAGGGGCTGAGATCACAGCGTGCATGGCGGACTGTACGCGAGAATTGGAAGGCAACGTGCAATACGAACTGCACGGAAAAAGTCGGAAACTGCCGCGGATCAGCGATATCCATTTTACTGCCGCGGACAGCCCGAATCTTGAGCCTAAGTGGCTACGGAGGAGGAGGGGGAGAGAAGCAGGAAAAGGAAGAGGAGCGGTGCCGACTGAGAAGCGTGCTCGGAAACGAAAGGAAGAAGAGGAGGAGGAGGAGGAGGAGGAGGAGGAGAAGGGGAGGAAAAACGAAAGGAGCAGGATACATGAAGAAGGAAGAGGAAGAGGAGGAGGGAGAGTAGGAGGAGTACGACGAGGAGGAGGGGAAGGACTAGGAGGAGGAGGAGGAGGAGGAGGAGGAGGAGGAAGAGACCAATCAGACGATCGGTGGAGGGCCTCAGCCAGGGCGAGGAGTAAAAGGCGAGGGGGAACTTACATGATTTCTCATGCGGGGTCTTACCGTCTGAGTACTTTCTTTATTTTGGAGGGGTGTCGGGGATGTGGTGAACATCTGGGTTTCCCCACTCCCCTTCCCCCCCACACTCCCTTTCCCGGTCCCGGAACAGACCTGCACTGAAAGGCGACTTTCCGCTTTCTTGAGCCACTGCGTCTTCTCTGGTGATCACAGCTTGCACGCTCCCCTGCATCTGTGCATCCTCGCTGCGCGCGTATGGTGCAGGTGCCAAGAGAAGGCAAGCGGGGGCCAGGCTCTGTAATTCCTGTGCTTGCTCCACTAATTCAGGGGAGGGGGGTGGGGAGGTGAGGGGGAAACCTGCACGCTTCCCTACTTCTGCATGTCCTCTCTATGAAGAAGACTCGTCAGATGAAGATGCCGAGGACAATTTAGGAGTCAACCCGACAAGCGGGCGCCTGCAGGCGGCTGAGAATATGATGCAGGTACTCTCCAACGCTGAGCGGCTCGTACTTGGGCTGCTCACCATGGCGGCAGATGCATTCCACTTTGGGATCAGAATTCGGGTACAAAGGCAAGACACTCGTGCTGAAGTACAGGATCGAGTGGCGGGGTGCGTCGCAATTGACATTGGCATTGACCCTGTGCAAGGAGCTCGCGAAACAATCGTTGCTCCACCTGGCCAACATATCGCCGATGTTCACAGTGAACGCACCCGGGACCACTGGTACGGACTGCCACTGGTACCCATTGTCATCCCCAGACTTCACACACACCTCCAGACCTGGAGACGTGGTCAATACGATAGCCAGGGGGCCCACATCAGTATGCGCAGCACATCGGACATCGTCGGGAGATGGGCAACAAGGTGGCGACCAAGCGGTTTTCAACAAACCCATGGTAGGTCCGATCTGCGCGAGAAGGTGTTGCGGATCAAGATGCTGTCCAGTTAATTTCCCCAAAGCGAGCGAGAACACTTCCAACATCACAATCTCCACGCGCCGCATTTCAGCGTAATAATAGTCTACATGGTGACTGAAGTCAGCGATGAAGTCTGGGTAAGTGTTCGTTCCGTATGCGGAGCCGCCCATGTGGTCCGGAGGACCAAAAGAATAGGACTCTCTGAGATCAGCTGGTCCGACACGGCCAAGCACAGCATTAATACTCTCGTTCCTGTACGGGACGTAACCGCGCAGTACTCCTGGACCAGATTTCGCGATGCACCGCTGCTTCTCCTCCATCGGGCTCTGAAAGAAGGCGGCCGACGCGGCGAGGACACCATCGACGACGGACTGGGGGACGCCATGGCCAACGATGTTCACGAAGCCAGCGTGCTGCGAGGCGGCCAAGACCTGGTCCACGACCGCATCCCTGTCCGCTGACGATGCCCGCTCCGGGTGCACGAAGCACGAGATGTCCACCCGAGGCACCCTGGCTGGCGGCAGGACCCCCGCGGCGGGTCCGGCATCGGCCTCCGCGACTGCTGCGTTGACCTGCTGCACCATGCGGCGGTGCCCCTCGTCGACGGGCGGGTGCTCGGCCCAGACGCAGCCCCGAGTCGCGGTCGCCATTGGGAGGGGCCAGGGGGCGAGATCAGTCGGTGACAGAACTCGGCCTCGAATAGCAGCGAATGGCCCGAGTCAAAGTCGCTACGGCGGGTCCAACTGCCGACCGTGCGGGAGGTAGGCCCTCTCGAGCGCCTCGGTCGGAATACGGGACAGAGCCTGTTAGCCGCTGGTGTCGCTCCAGTGTGAACATGCCCTCTCTGGGTGCATCCCAGCGTCTACATGCGAGCGGTATACATCGGGGGGGATGGGGTCCGACTAGTCGAACTGGCGGTGCAGCTGGCTTCAGGCGCGCTCCGCCTTTCTGTGTCATTGCCTTCGCAACGCCTGCCGTATACTGAAGTCGGAAATTGGGGAATGAGATCGCAGTGCAACGGAGAGACCCCTCACCGGGAATTCGGCTTCGGTTTCGTGTTCGTGTCGTGCATGCGGGCGAGGCGAAGCTGCGTGGGCGCGCGAGAGGAATGACAAAGCCGTCGCTAGGGCGATTCGGATGCAGTGGACCGATCGACCCCGGATTTTGGCTCTAGCGGAGGAGGCGGAGGAGAAGGAGGAGGGAGATGGGGGAGGGGGAGGGGGAGGAGGAGGAGGAGGAGGAGGAGGAGGAGGAGGAGGAGGAGGAGGAGGAGGAGGAGGAGGGGGAGGAGGAGAAGGAGGAGGAGGGGGAGGAGGAAGAGATGGAGGCGGCGGGCCACCCGGCGAGCCCGGCGCCCGTGGGCGCGCGGTGGCCCGGGGTGTCCCGCCGTGGTGTCCTGTGGTGTCCCGTTGATGTTGGTGTCCCATCGGTGTTCCGTCGGCGGTCGGCGGGCGCCTCGGTCGGGAGTGCCCCGCGTTTGTGTCGAAAGTTACATCGGTTGTGAGATCGTGAGGAGATCGCTGACATGAGACGGATAGTGAAACCAAACATGAGATCGTCAATGAAACTGTTTGTGGCATTAATTGTGAGATCGATCGTGAGATCAAAAGTGAAATCGACAAAATTATCGATAACCTCATGCCCGTGAGAATAAACACTAGGGGATAATAAAGTTCGGGGTTCAGGGAGAGATAATAAAAGTAGCCCAGCAGACCTCAGCATAATCTCGAAGTAAGAGATGATCAAGAGGAGACCAAGCCGAGCACGTTTTGAGACATCCTTGGCGTTTAGTTTTCATAGAAATATCCTCAACAATGGTTTATCTCTCATGAAATTTGTTTTTTTTTTTTTGTAAGTGCTCGTGTAGGGTAGCTCATGTGCCTCAATTTCCATGGATAATCAACCCCAGAAATAAAAAAGTTCAGGCGAGCGTGGGGACAGAGAGAAATATAAAAGAAGAAGAATACAGTAGAAGAATAATAAGAAAGAAGAAGAAGAGGAGAATAAGAAGAGGACGAAGAAAGGAACAATCCAAAGTTCCAAATCTATCAATTTTAATTTACAAGCGCTTTATGAACATTGATTTTTTAAGTGCTCGTGTAGGGTAGCTCATGTGCTTCATTTTCCATGGATAATCAACCCCAGGGATAAAAAAAAGTTCAGGCGAGCGTGAGGACAGATAGAAATATAAAAGAAGAAGAGGAAAGTATAATAATAATAAGAACATTGCTCGTTTCGTTTGAGTCTGCCTCCCAAAATTATTGGTTTCGCTTGACACATCCTGAAAAAGTGTGATCGCTTCGCTTGATGTTGCTATATCAACATCGCTTGATGTTGCTATCTCAACATAGCGTTTCGAGGTGATAATGAAGTTCGGCCTCAGGGCTCGCCGCCCAACTTGAATTTTGTATAGGGCGACGATAATGAACTCTAAACACTGAAGGGGGGGGGTCCCTTTATTATCATCGGCATGCGGTTAGTGAGATCGCTAGCGAGACCGATAGTAAGATCGAAAACGAAACATATAATGGGATCTAGAATAAGATCGCTAGTTCGTTTTACAGTGGGATCGATCGATTGTGATCGGTCCTGTGAGTTCGATCGTGAGATCGATCGAGTGAGATCGAAAACGTAGACGAGTGTGGCATTACACCGCAGCGCAACATCGTCATCACGCGTCGTCGCTAACTCGAGGGCGCGTCACCAGCATCGTCATCCTGACACCCATCGCATTTGCCAGCAGTTGGTTCTTTCCCCCCCCCACCACCAACCGACCCCCTCATTACCCGAAGAGTGGTCGTATAGGTCCTATGGCATACCTGGTCGTATAGGTCCTATGGCATACCTGGCTTGAACAATAGTCTGTATGTTTTGCGCTCTTCCTCCCCCCTCCTGGAGATCGGCATGAACGTCAACCTTCGGAGGTCCGCGCAGATTTCGTGGATCGACGCTGGACCCGCTAGCGGCGCCTCCTGCGTGGACCCCCTTGCGCGCTCAGCCCGCCAGGAAGGGAAGCCCTGCGCCGATCCGAGACATCCGCACGGACCTCCGACACTCTGCGCGTGATGCGCAGGCTTCTTCTTCTTATTATTCTTCTTCTTCGGCGGTCCTCACCCTGCACTGTGAAGCCACAGAACACACACACACATTCTAACCTACAGGGAGGAGGCATGGGGAAGGGCATGGAGATGAGGCCCCCACCCGACAACACACCTTTTTTAAATCTGCGCAAGAGGGGCGCCCCGTGGCTTAGGAAGAAAGAGGAGAGCAGCAGGGGAAGGGAGGAGAAGAAGAGGAGAAGGCAGCAGTCCCCACCCAACAACACACACCCGTCGTCCCCACGGAATTCCACCCCGAGAACAAACTCGAGGTCGCAGAGGTATACCGGTGCTAGCTGTCCGCTCGTGGCTTCGTGCGCGCTCGCCTTGGCCGCCCGCAGCGCGAAGCCGGCGGCCCTCGTGGCGCTCTCGGCGGCGGCCGACGCGAAGAGGCGGACGTCGGCGCCGAACAGGTGCCGGAGGGCGCCGCACAGGGCGTCGAGGGCGGTCCTGGGAAGCGCGGGCGCCCCCATGGGAGCCGGCGGGCCTTGGCGGCCTTGAGGCCGCATCGGGCGCCGCAGCCGGTCGAGGAGCAACGCATGACAGAAGCACAAACCTTCGCATGTCCGCGAGGACTCCTCGGATCGGCGCGCAGGAGAGCCCCCAGGCGGCGCCTACAGCGCCGCCCCTGGCGCGCTCCGTGCGCCAAGGAGAGGGGTCCAGCGCCGATCCGAGGAATCCGTGCGGACCTCCGAAAGGTTCCCCGAGTAGCCGGACCCGAAGCGTTCCAGAACGCTCTCGAAGAGCTGTCCTCGTCCTGAGCCCGCCCGACCTTCCCTTACCTTTACAGTCGGACTTGGTTGGACAGGACACGCTAGAGGACACAAGACCCTTCCGAGGGCCACATTGCCATGGGGGATGTAGGAGGCATGGGTCGCGAGGCACAGGACACAAGGGTACCTAAGGGAACACTTGATTTGGCAGGGTCGACCCACTAATCAGGGCCGACTGTACCCTCCCCCATCCGCCCCCACGGCCTCCTCCTGGCCTGCCCCCTTGCAGCCCCCCTCTCTCGGCTGCCATCCTCCTCACTGCTGACGCTGGGGCCGCTGCTGCCGCCGCCGCTGCGGCTGCTGCCCCCCCCCTGGCTCGGCCTTCCCTCCTCCGGGCCCCTCTGGCGGCGAGGGGGGCAGCAATCCCAGGAAGTCCTGCGCTCGAGAGCTCTCTGCAGCCTGCCTGCAGCTCGATAGCATACGATACCGAAGCGCCGGACCAAGACAAATCCAGCTCAGCACTTGGGCATGGCGCCGGCCGTCGGATCCTGAAGGGCACTGTCGACCGATCTCGGGTCCCTAGTCGGTGGCGCGCCAAGGGGGGGCGTGAGAGGGGGCAGGGCTGCTCGGAAGGCGGCGGGGCCTTGGCGAAGGTCTTGAGGGCTTCTACGGAGGCCTTGTGGGCCTGCTGCGAAGGAAGGCACGCCTCCCCCGCCTCCCCCCCTGGGCGTGCCGCTGGAGGAGGAGGAGGAGAAGGAGGAGGAGGAGGAGGAGGAGGAGGAGGAGGAGGGGGAGAGGAGGGGGAGGAGGAGGAGGAGGAGGGAGGAGGAGGAGGAGGAGGGAGGAAGGAGGAGGAGGAGGGAGGAGGAGGAGGAGGAGGAGGAGGAGCAGGGGCCGTGCTAATCTTCTCTGTATCGTTCCAATTTTAACGGATGATCCCCGAAGGGAATCCGAGGAGAAGGAGGAGCAGGGGAGGAGGAGGAGGAGCGTCACCAGCGTAATTGGCCGCGTCCAATGTGCGAGCACACCCGTGTTGGCGGGCATGCTGCGTGACCCCTCTGGGGAGCCCTCGGGAGCCCAACGGGGCTGGTGTGACCCCGCGTTGGCCCCGTGGCCAAACGCGGCTGTGTGACCCCGTGTTGGCCATGGCCGCCGCTCAGCTTCAGTAGGAGCTCGACCACAAGAAACCTGCCGCAAGAAACCCCACCCCGAGACCCCAGGACGTCCATGGACTTGTGTCGTGGGAAAGCCACGCTTCCCATAGCACCACCGTCGAAACCCAGGAGACCCAGGGCACCCTGGAGGCAAGCAGGGTGTTTCTTGGCATGGGCTTCCTGGAAAAAGAAAAACGTAAACATACATGTTTAGCGCTCCGCGCGCATTTCTTGGATCTGCGCTGGACCCCCCTCCCTGGCGCGCGGAGCGCGCCAGCGGCGGCGGCGGAGGCGCCGCCACGGGGGCCCAGCGCGGATCCAAGAAAGCCGCGCGGAGCGCAAACAGCTTATGCGTATGGCGTTCTTTCTTCGTCGGTTTGCACCACCCAGACTGCACCGCACAGCTTGCAAGCAAACCACTGCTTCCAATCCACCCACGCTGGGTAGCGTGCCTCCCACTACTTCCACCTCTCGCTCTCTCCCCACCTCCCCCCCGGGAAGCCGGCTGCTTCGGGGGCGACGATGGGAGCGAATAGCCGAGGGGCGGGCATTACACGCATTCGCCCGGGAGCCTTGCCCAAGACACAGATCAGCGGCGCACCCGAATACAAAGTGATGCTCTCCCCTGGGCTCTTGGCCCCTGTCATCGCCTCTGACTGGCGGGCCTGCGCCCCGCCCCGAATCC